TTCAGGTCTGGAATTGAACCCACACCTATGGTTTCCAGCCAAACAATGTACAGGCATGTGAGTTAAACATTTACCTCAAGTAGCCACACACCCTGGAGAGAACAATCATGGGAGAAGGAAGGGCTGCATATGCACAGGGAGACAGCTCAGGGCACAGGAGAGTATGGAGGGACGGTCACTGGGAAGAGGTAAATATGGGGAGGAAGTGGGAAGGGAGCTGTTGCATTATAAACTGTGGTCAATGACATGAGACAAAGTATATGTGAACTGCTCTATGGAAAGTGAATTTACTCTGTAAATCTTCACCGAAATCACAATAAATAAAATTAAATTAAAAAAAAAAAAACTTTCATTATCATTAGATTATTTAATAATTTAGCCACCAACATTTTCAAATATGACAGTATAGGAACAATAATTTCTTAACATTTTCAGCTGCTAGACTGCTCTATTAGTCATCAAAACACATATTTAGGATACTAAACCAGATACTTTCAACTTAGATCAACAGAAGATAATGGCATTATTTGCCTAATTCTGACAATCTTGGGCAGTGCTCATAGCAATAGTGTCATCTCTCTAATAGTAACTGAGTATGTATCTTCTCTTCAACTCCTGGCCTTAAATATTTGGTCAATGGTGATGTTGTTGTTGTTGTTAGGTGCTGTTGAGTCGTCTCTGACTCACAGTGACCCCATGGACAACAGAACAAAACACTGCCCAGTCCTGTGTCAACCTCACAATCCCTACTATACCCAAGCCCATCACTGCAGCCACTATATCAATCCATCTTGTTGAGGGTCTTCCCTTCTTTCATTGACCCGCCACTTTACCAAGCATGATATCCTTTTCCAGAGAATGGTCCCTTCTGACAACATGACCAAAGTAGGTGAGACGAATTCTGGCCATTCTCACTTCCAAGGAGCATTCTGGCTGCACTTCCTCCAGCACAGATTTGTTAGTTCTTTTAGCAGTCCATGGTACTTTCAGCATTCTTCACCAACACCACAGCTCAAAAGCATCAACTCTTCTTCAGTCTTCCTTATTCATCATCCAGCTCTCACATGCACATAAGGTGACTGAAAATACCCTGGCTTGGGTCAGGCACATCTTAGCCTTCAAGGAGACATCTTTGCTCTTCAGCACTTGAAAAAGTTCTTTTGCAACAGATTTGCCCAATGCAATACTGCTTTTGATGTCCTGACTGCTGCTTCCATTGATGTTGACTATAGAACCAAGTAATAAGAAGCCTTTGACAACTTCAATCTTTTCTACATCTATGATGATACTGCTTATTCGTCCAGTTGTGAGGATTTTTGTTTTCTTTATATTGAGGTGTAATCCATACTGCAGACTGCAGTCTTTAATTTTCATTGGTAAGTGCTCCAACTCATCCTCACTTTCAGCAAGCAAAGTTGTGTCATCCACATATCTCAGTTTGTTAATGACCCTTCTCCCAATCCTGATGCCACGTTCTTCTTCATTTATTCCACCTTCCCAGATCATTTGCTCAGCATACAGACTGAATAAGTATGGTGAAAGGATACAACCCTGATGCACTCCCTTCTTGATTTTAAACCATGCAGTATCCCCTTGTTCTGTTGAACGACAGCCTCCTGGTCTATGTACAGGTTCCTCATGAGTACAATTAAGTGTTCTGGAATTCCCTTTCTTCTCAATGCTATGTGTAATTTGTTATGATCCACACAATCAAACACCTTTGCATAGTCAATAAAGCACAAGTAAATATCTTTCTGGTATTCTTTGCTTTGAGCCAAAGTCCATCTGACATTAGCTATGGTATCCCTCGCACCACATCCCCTTCTGAATCCAGCCTGCATTTCTGGAAGTTCTTTGTCTATACACTGATTTTATAATTTTTGAATTATCTTCAGTAAGATTTTACTTGCATGTGGTATTAATGATACTGTTCAAAATTTCTACATTCTGTTGGATCACCTTTCTTTGGAATGGGTACAAATATGGATCTGTTCCAGTCAGTTGGCCAGGATGTCTTCCAAATCTCTTGGCATAGATGAGTTAGTGCCTCCCACACAGCATCCGTTTGTTGAAACATCTCAATGGGTATTCCGTCAATTCCCGGAGCCTTGTTTTTTGCCAATTCCTTGACAAAGTCAATTATTATAATGAAATGTGCAAAGACTTGGAGTTGGAAAATTAGAAGGGAAAGACACGCTTGGCATTTCTCAAGCTGAAAGAACTAGGAAAAAATTTAAGCCTTGAATTGCAATACTGAAAGATTCCATGGGCAATACACTGAATAATGTAGGAAACATCTAAAGAAGATAGATAGAATATACAGAATCACTATACCAAAAATAATTGATAGATGACCATCTATTTCAGGAGGTGGCATATGATCAAGAATCAATAGTATTAAAGGAAGATGTCAAAGCTGCACTGAAGGAAGTGTAATGGTGATAGTGCAATATTATTGGAAAAAATCCCACAAACTGAAATTGTACAGTGCTTAAAGAAATGCTTATAAAATTTTTCTGAAGCAGATTTAAGATGACTGCTGTCACTTATATTTTTATTGCTAATATATTTATGTATACTTAAGCCATGGATATGGAATTGTAGTACTGGAACAATGTAACTCGTTTTCAGGGTAACAAAATTTTCTATCTGTATCTCAGCTTTTACTGTTTACACACCAATTTTAGCACTTAGTCTGGAGGTGAACAAATAGAAGATATCATAAGAAATACTTAAAACCTCAAAGCACACGGCAAGTAAACAACAGCAGCAAATGAGCCACTCTCTCTACAAGCAAGCTATGGTTATCAGAAATCCTGCATGGTTGGTATTGGGATCTGCAAAGCAAAGTATTACACCTTCTTTTGTTCAAGCTACTTTTTAAATATATGATAGCTTCCATACCATACTGTTTGAATATCCTGTAAATACATGACAAGACAGCATTAAAATATCTTATGTGCCATATAGTTTATCTTTGGCTAAAAGAAATTTTTACAAGTTACATCTAGAGTGCTTGCTAATATCTGAAAGCATATATTCAGCTATTAAAACAATAAATCCAAATGGCAAATCTTGTTTATATTACTCACGTTATTATTCTGATTAGATACCTATACAATGGCAAGGTCATTGATGACACATGCATTAGGCATGCAAAAATGTTGCTGATGTTGGTAGTCAGCTGTTCAGTTTTCCAAAACCTGAAGCCAAACGGCAGATTTTGAAAAAATACTGAAGCCAAGTTGTACTTCAGTACATCTTTGAATAACTTACATTCTGTTCTCAAAAGAATTCAACATTATTTCTTCCTGCTCCAAGATTAAGTGGGCAAATTTAAGGGAGTTATAGATAGGTCAGAAGTCAGTTTACGTGTCACCCTCTTACACAAGAATGTAAGAGCAAAGGCTAGAAAATGTGCCCTTAAACAAAACGTAGCCAGTGAAAAGCCAAAAAATGTTTTAGTTCTTAAAATAAAATTGACAAAGGATACCAGGGAAAAAGGCATTAAAAATCTGCTTTGAAATATTTATAATGTGTTAGTCACCACAACATGAAACTTGCCATAGAATCTGCTTCAACAAATAATGATATAAAAGCAACATACCACAAAACAAAACAAATCAGAAGGAGACGATTCAGGAAAAAAAAAAAAAAGAAAATTCAGAGTCAGGTTGAATTTTTTGTTTTGTTTTACAGCAGACAATAATTTGGCTTGTTTGGGAAGCAGAACTTGTATTTATAGATTTAATGCCATTTCAATTGTCTTCCCATAATCCTTATTTTCAAAGAAATCTTGATTTTTACCAACTACATGGTTGTCAAGTATTACATATTTTAGGAACCTGGTTTATCCTCATTAGCGGCAAGGAATTCCTTCATCACAAAGTTCTCTGAAATTTTTATACAAAAAATGTAGAAATTAAAGAAAAATAATTTTCATTATTCCCGTCATTATTCCCAAGTTCTCTAGTTGAAGCCACTTCCTGGTTAATTAACAGTTTTAGAGCTCTATTAATTTAATGAGCTATATATTCTTGTCATAGATACTATGGAAAGATAATTTATCCAAAATTTCTAAATTAGTCCTATGACTCTTCCATTAGTATATGTAATGACATCATGTACCTTATAATGATGTGCCAAAGAGATAAAAATCCCCATTTTATTTGAAAATGTCATCTACACAGCATAAACAGTTGGGTTTCTTTTAAGTTTTTACTGTGATTTCAGTGAAAGTTATAGCATAAAGAGCTTTAATGTACTTTTTATTTCATACTTTTTCTTAAATGTATAGTAATATTAGAAAATTTAATAATCATAATCATTGTTACAGCTAGAGTATTTACATGCAAAGCAGTGCTAATCCAACTTAATAAAGGCTTTTCTAAATCTAAATATCAGTCTCATAATAGGCAAAAAAAAAACACAAAAGATATTGAAGAAAACACAAATTTACCTTTTGAGTTCTTGTCTTCTTTTTGTATTACAGTACAAAATATCTGTATGATTTGATTTCTGAAAGAAAAGAATGTGGTAAGTACTTTACCATTCACCCTTATACTATAGCTTAACATGTTTAATCTGCTGTCACTGTTTCCAGTTATTTGTATGAGAATGGAAAGAACTCTGGTCTTGGCTCTGTTGCTGTATACAACTTTGTGTCCTCACATAAGTCACTTAACTTCCTGGGTCTCAATTTCCAAATCTAAAAATGCAAATAATACATCTATCTTGCCTACCTCAAAAGGAAATTGTAAAGATCTAATATAACCATATACATAAGATTTAAAAAAATGTCTACGATCAAGCTCAATTGGCAAAACATACTATACAAAATATTGTTCCACCTCCTACTTTGGCGAGTAGCGACTGGGATCTTAAAAGCTAGCAAGCTGCCATCCAGATGCAACGATGGGTCTCTCCTCGTTAGGAGCAAAGAAGAAAGAAGAAAACCAAAATTAATGGAAACAATCAGTCCTAGCGACTGGTATACCATCCAATCTGCAACCTATACAAGTATGAGACCCAGAAGAACTAGACGGTGCCCGGCTACCACTGTCATCTACTTGGAAGGGATGTAGGAGATCCTGGATAGAGAGGGAGAACAATGTGGAACAAAACTCAAAATCATTTGGAGGAAAAAAGAAAAAAAAAGGTGGGGACCAGGTTTGCTGGTCCAATAGAGCCTGGTGGAACCACTGAGACTATGGCCCCTAGCTGCCCTTCAGGTCTGGAATTGAACACACACCTGTGGTTGCCAGCCAAACAATGTACAGGCATGTGAGTTAAACATTTACCTCAAGTAGACACATGCCCTGGAGAGAACAATCATGGGAGAAGGAAGGGCTGCTTATGCACAGGGAGACAGCTCAGGGCGCAGGAGAGTATGGAGGGATGGTCACTGGGAAGAGGTAACTATGGGGAGGAAGTGGGAGGGGAGCTGTTACATTGTAAACTGTGATCAATGACATGAGACAAAGTATATGTGAACTGGTGTATGGAAAGTGAATTTGCTCTGTAAATCTTCACCGAAATCACAATAAATAAAATAAAATAAAAAAAAAAAAGTCTACATTTATATCCACTGTTTTCTATTCCAAAATGGCAGAGTCTATTAGAACATGAAAGAACTTGATAAATGCTTTTTGATAATGATAAGGAAGAAAAACCAAACACTAGTTTTCTTTCTACGAGCTCTGGTAGCATAGTGCCTAAGGCACTTGACTGCTATCCAGAAGGCTGGGGGTTCAAACCCACCAGCCACTCCTCAGAAGGAAGGTTGGGCAATCTACTCCCACAGTGATACCGCCTTGGAAACCCAAGGAAGGGTTGCTATGAGTCGGGTCCAACTCGAAGGCACATAACAACAACAACAACAGTTTTCTTTCTACTGGTTATCAAAAAATGAGTATCATATAAGTGAAAAAATTAATAGAAAAGTACTGGGAGCAAATTTATATATTACTTCACTTCACATTAAAACTTTAACATAAACCATTTTTAGAATTAGTTATGGTATCTAAACACTCACCAGTTTTCTCTTTTCTGAAGAAACTGATCTTGCAGAGTAAGAGGAACTAGTAGAACTTGTTGAGATATTTTTCTCTTTCTTATCCTAAGAATGCCATTGGGGATAAAAAAAAAGCAAGAAAAGCAAAAAAAAATAACATTATTTCATCATTAGCATTATACATCAACATTCCTTATACATTCAGTAATGAATTTCAGAGGGGAACAATTTTAAAGACACATAATTTTGGCATTAGGGAGGAAGACACAAATGGAAATCAGAAAACCTAAATGCTCTTGAATTTAAGAGATGACATGGAAACAAGTGTCATAGAGGAGGCCAGCTAACAACTCAGAGCAATGTCATGGTGGGATTCAGTCTTCAACAAAGTTGTTATGAATTATGTTCCTCACAAAAAATTCATGTTGAATTCTTTACCCTGGTACCTATGAAAGTGACCTTGTTTGGAAACAGGGTCTTTGAAGATGTTATCAGTTAGATTTAGATAAGGAATTTAACTGGTAGTGCAGTAGGTAAGCACTCAGCTGTTAATGGGTTTATGGTTCAAACCCATCAGCTACTCCCAAAAAGAAAGATGTGGTAGTATGCTTCCATAAAGATTATAGCCTGAGAAATCCCGTGGGGTAGTTCTACTCTATCCTCTAGGATTGCAATGAATCACAATGGACTCGATGGCAATGTGTTTTTGGATCCTGGAATAAGGTGAGTCTTAATGCAATGAGTGTCGTACTATGAAACAGAACAGAAGAAAGGAAGCCATGTGAAGATGCAGCCACACTGGTGCTACTAAAAGCCGGAAAAAAAATGATCTTCCCCTACAGCAAACAGAGAAATGAATCTGACATCCTCAATTCTGACTACCAGCCTCTAGAGCTGTGAGACAATAAATGTATGTTCCTATAAGTCATCCAATTTGTGGTACTTTGTTACAGCCAACTTAAGAAACTAATACAAAAGCAAAACCATATATTCTGGTATTTTCAGTAGATTCTAAATTCTATAGGTCCAGAGTGGTTTAGGAGCCCTGGAGGTATAATGGTTAAGTAAGTGCTCAGCTGCTAACCTTAGTTAGAAGTTCAGACCCACACAGCAGTTCTGCAGGAGAAAAGACCTGGAGATCTACTCCCATAAAGATTACAGTCTAGGAAACACTATGGGGCAGTTTAACTCTGTCCTATAGGGTCACTATGAGTTGGGACCTACTCAATGGTAACAAAAGTGTGGTCTCAAACTAACCATTCATTTATTCAACAAACATATTTTGAGTGTCTATCCTGTACCAAAAACATTCTAGATAGTGGAGACAGAGTATAATGAAAAAAAATAATAATTTAAAAAAAAAAGGCCCCACCCACCTAGAGGTAAAAGTCTAGTGCTGCTATTGTTGTTATGTGCCATCGAGTCGGAACCGACTCAAAGCAACACCTCCTTGGGTTTCTGAGGCAGTATCACTACAGAAATAGATCGCCCAGCATTCCTTCTGAGGAGTGGCTGGTGGGTTTGAACCACCAGCCTTTTGGATAGCAGTCAAATGCCTTAGGCACTATGCTACCAGAGCTCCTAAGGTCTAGTGCAGGGATTTATAAATAACCAACTAATAAATTTAGTATGTCAGACAATCCTATGGGAATTAAAAATTAAGCACAGAAAGGGAAAGAAAGTGCTGGGAGCTGGGAGCTGGGAGTAGGAAGTGTTGCAATTATAAATAGTTAGAGAAGTCACTACCAATAAAGTGACATCAAAATAGAGACCTATGGTGAAATGAGTTCCCTTATATGGTCTTTCCCTTGGTTCTTTGGGAAAATAACTTGAGAGACTGTTCCCCTATGACCTCTGCCCTAGTTTTATACCACAGAGAGTTTGTTACGTTTGTCTAGATTGACTGATAAGAGTTCCGGCAAGAAGGATGGCAGGGACATATGAGAGGCTGACAACAGGAAAAGAGACAGGTGGTGAATGTATAAGTGCTGTCAACTAGTGAATAGAGGAGAACAGCAAAATACCCTGCCTCTGCTTACATAGATAACATACAAAGAAAACAAAAATCATGGGCAAAATCACTCCAACAGACAATCACCAATTAAATATAAACATAAAAACATCACAATGCCTCAGAGACAACAGAGCAACACAGTCCACACAAACAAGCAAGATAAAGCAGAAGAAACAAGGGACCAGGATACAGACCCAAAACACATCCCTGAGGAAGATGCAGCATTGGAACTCTCTGATATATATTACTAATATTTACCCAGGTCTTCTGTAGCTGAAGTCAGAAACTCGCTTATGTAAGCGTAGATATGTCTCCTTCCAAGGGCCAATTTATATTCTCATACCAGGATTCTACCTGAAGAGGCAGATTTGAAAGCCTGCAGGGGAAGCCTTGAACAGGCCCACTTGTGAGTGGGCTGGGACCCTCCCTGAAACATACGCATGATTTGTATACTTGGGCGGAGGAGGGCATCAGACATCCCTGGAGCATGCCTGGTAAAGTAACTGGTGAAATGGGCCTGAAGGAATTCTGAATGGTTGCAGTAGAAGTTAAGAGCCTGCAGGAAGGAACTCAAGCTATGTTCACTGTGTTCACTGCTTGAACCAGGCACATTCGGTGAACAGGTGTGGAGGTCTGACACCAGATTACTTTCAGGTCATATGTAGTGGTGGGATCTGCTGCAAGAGAACTCATCCTGAGGGAAGGCAGTCTAGCATAGTGAGCTCAGCTCAGGAATACAGCCTTGTCATTAGGATAGTAGAGCTATTCTAACAACAGCCTGGAATCAGGACTCCTATCTGTGCCTGTGCCAACATCTCATGGTCTAGTATAGAGAAATGGTTCAAAAACAAATGACTAAATATATTTTGGCAATTCTTAAAAAAAAAAAAAGAGTTCCGGCAAGATGGCGGACTAGGCACAAGGACTGCACAGATGCTCTTCAACAAAGAAAAGGGAAACCAATTAACACAGACACAGAAGATAATC